ACCTCTATTCCCGGGGTAGCAGTCGTTCATTAACGGACAATCCAGTCACGCAAGCAACGAATCAACGGTTTTATAAAGTAACATATTTCCCCCTTTGAGTAACAAATAACAGCAGATTTTTTTTTTTTTGGTTCTTCTAGAATCAAACACTTGTCCAATTAATTTCTCTACATTAAGCCCGTGAAGTAAATCAGGTCAAGGTTCAGTCAACATCAATCAACTAGACTGAACCAACTCTAATCATATTGAAACAAGGAGAAAACCCTAATTTTAATTGAAAAGGGAAAAGCTGGCTAAACCCGAAATTAAGATGCAAATTCCTCAAAAAAAAAATTTGTTTGCAGCTGTACAATTAATTATTTAACAGTACCATCTGAATTCTGAAGAAACATACTACAACAAAAAGCAAGATCAAACTCCCAATTGCTACATGTTGGGATAATTATAAGGCCAAAATCTTCTATTTAAAATAATGTTCGGTAAAAAAAAAAATCCATTGAGCTTCAACAAAAATTGTTATCAGAAAAACGTAGCCGGCGCACACAAAAAGGAAAAAGGAAGAATTTCGTGACGGAGAGCAACCAAAACAATATACATTAACTCTCGAAAATCAGTAAATAATTTCGAGAGAAAAAGAGAGGGAGACCTGTTTTGTAGTGGGAATTGAAGGACTTGATGAGATTACGGAGGAAGATTTTGGATTTAGCGCCGGCGGAGACAGCGACGGAGGCGACGGCGGCGTTGATGGAAGACGAGGAGTTGCGACGGGGTTTGGGTGGTGGATAAGGGGGACGGACGGCGGTGGGAACGTATCGGGTAATCGCGGGCTACGCAGGTGAGAATACGGCTGCGGCGGTGAATACGGCGGCGAGATTGCGGAGGAATAGAAGAAAGAGATTTGGGGGTGGTTGCGAAATTAAAGCATACGTAAATTAGAATTTTCAATTTTTGTGATTAATGTTTTTATTCTGCCCTTTCCTTTTTTGCTTTTAATAGTCCGCTTTTTACTGCTTTGCAGTTTCTTTTTTTTACTTTTTCTTTTTCTTTTTCTTTTCTTTTTCTTTTCCCTTTTTTTTCAACTTTGAAAGAAAAAAAAAACTCACAATTCTTATTAATCTCTTTTCGAACTATATAGTTCGTAAATAAGCATTTCGTGTTCTCTAACACGAAGTGGATGGAAATATTTCGTGGAAATAAGCATGAAATATTTTTTTTTTTTTACAGTTTAGGCTACGAAGCACGAAACACTGCATTTTATGTTTTTGTTGTACTTTGTGTAGTTTCCTACGAAACACAAGCTTGTATTTCGTACAGAAATATACGAATTCACTGAATTTGCTTTAAATTACTTCATTTTAACACTCAAATAAATACAAGAATAACAACAAATTTAAACTGAAATTCCAATACAATGTAAAATGAAATTCAAATACAATTACAAATTACAATAGAACAATATTTTGTAAGCCACATAATACCAGATGTTAATAGACTTTAAAATATTAACGATATACGCATGTTTATGAGACATTGGATAGTATTCATAACAAAAATATATATTGCATAGAAAAATCTACGGTCAAACTACAAAAATTGTATGGTTAATATGCAAAATAAAATTTAATAGTAAATGGATCAATTTTTTTTAACACAATTGTAGTAAAAAGTTCAATATTAAAAACAGTATAAATTATCATGATTTATTTTGTAATAATCATCAATGTACATATTATTATAATTAGATATAATGATCATGAAAATAAAAAGGGTAAATTACACCCACACCCATGAGATATGCTTAAATAACTTTAAGGTCTCTGTGATATTAATAATTACACTCACCCCCCTGAAACATAGTTAGAAACTCTAATGGGATAATTCGTTGGATACGTTATTCCGATAGAGTTCTAACGGACTATTACTTTTAGCTAGTGGGGGAGACAACATAGAGTTATAAGGTGACATGACTCATCCAACATTTCTTAAATCACGCATAGCTCTTTGTTGTCTCCACTACTTTCGGAAACTAATAGTCTGTTAAAACGCTGCCGAAATAATGTATATATCCAATGCATTATCCCATTAGAGTTTATAACTATGTTTCAAGGGGTGAGTGCAATTATCGATACCACAGGGACCTTAAAGTTATTTTAGCATAGCTTAGAGGTGTGGGTGTAATTTACCAAATAAAAATCTAAAATCTAATAATAACTCACGTGGGAGAATCAACTGATGACAATTGACATATATATCCGAGTAAATTAAATAAAAGATTGAAAAATAATTATGATAAATTGTAATTGTGTCATGGTACTACGAGAAATTATCGTATTTAACTAGTGAGTGCTTGTAGTTAAAACCTAATATATTGCATAATTTTAGTTTTATTTTCAAAATTTTTTTTTTCAGCAAATCAAATCTTAAATAGTACGATTTTTACAAGTTGATGATTTATTTAAAGATTTGAATCAAGGAGGATTCATATAGAATATAATCGTACGATTTGAATTGTGAATCGTACGTTTAACAATCATAATACATGAAAATATAGTAAATTTTAAACATTATAAAAACATAAGTTAAAGCCCCTAAAAAAACATAAGTTAAAGCCGCATAATTGATGCTTCTCCCTATCAAACACGACATCACGTTAAAAGTAACGAATCATGACATTTTTGTTTTTGTAATTATAACGAAAATAAAATTTCTTACTATGTCATTGAAACTAAAATACGAAATAAAATTACATTAAGATACAAAATACAACATTCCATAATCAACACAATGATCGGGCGATGGTTATGATAGTCATCACTAACACTCTGTCGTCATAATCTATCATCTTTGACTTCTTGGCAATTAAATTGAACAGACAAAACTGTCTTTTCTATCGTCCAGATCGTTCATATTGATACCTTACACACGTCAAATACTGACAATTCTCTTTTTCTAAACTGAATTATCAGACGACGACGATGACTAATTGCAGTGTATGTTGCTCACATAGGGAATGCCTCCCTACAATCAAACAAGTCATCATGTTGAAAGAAGTAACTATAATAGTGAGATTCTTGTTCTCGTTCTACCATAAAAAGAAATTGTATTAAATAACTTTAAAAAATTAAGGGATTTCGTGTGAATTATGCCTCCTGAGGCGCGTCAGTCCACACGCGATGCACCGCTGCTCTCTTACATCGGGGCGTCCGCGCTTCAGTTCGTTCACCTTCCTCATTATGCGCACCTGCCTAAAAAAAGGGAGAAATAATAATAATATTTTATTATTATTATTATTCCATGAAAACGACTAACGGAATACTACACCACTGATCTATTCTTGACATGATCCGGTATCCTTTTCGACTTGGCTTCCACATCGACTCGAGGGGGGCTTAGTGATATGCCTAATTGGGCCGGTCTAATGGGCCTACGATTTCTTAACTTATTGGTCCACGAGCCCAATATTGAAGACCACTACAACCGAGGCCCGATCACCTTTAAATAAGATTTGAGCTCAACAATTACAATCGAGTAACTTCAGCCCAACTAACTCGTTATACATAAAGATTACAATTCATTTGTTAAGGTACGTTCAATGTTAGAACGATACAACTGCTCGTATTCCATCTACGACTTTTGTAATCCACACGCCTGGCATGAGCGTCGGAGGGATTTCCGTCGGATCAACCCCCGGCTTAGTTTATGTGTTTTCTGATCGCATATATCTCAAGGTCACCAAGCTCGTGAGTTAGTGATCCACTTTTCTCTTTCAGCTCATCCTACTTCAACTACTTAAGATGATCTAATTCTAGCATCATCAAGTATGTTAGGTATATAAATAAGGGTAAATTCCACTTTCTCCCCTTGTACTTTGGCTCGGTATCGCTTAATTTCCCCCTTCTACTCTCGCTTGCATCGATTTGCCCTTCTGCATTTGTAAATTTGTATCAATGTGGTCCTTACTGTTAGTTGTCAGACATTTGGCCTTAAACAAAAAAGCGACCCTCTCAATTTAAATAATTATTAAAAAAAATTAAAAAAACAAAAAAATAATAATAAAAAAAAATCAAGACAACGAGAACGTATAGTCCACGACGGCAGCTATATATTTTTTTAATTTAAAAAAATATTAAATTTTTTTTTTAATAATTATTTAAATTGGGAGAGGTGGTTTTTTTGTACTTTTCAGACTTAAATCAAACGGTGTTAAGGTCAAAAGTATGAAAACTAAAAGCGAGGGCCACATTGAGACAATTTTTCAAGTACATAGACAAATCGATGCAATCGAGAGTAGAATGGAGTAAATTGATATCATGCCAAAGTATAAGAGGAAAAATGGAATTTACCCTATATATAAAAGAGGCAAGACAATTCCATGGAGTTATCAAATGAAGTATCAAAATATTTTATTCTTTTCATACTCAAAAGTAGAAATGTCTTTAGCCCAATGAAGTTATCATATTAGGGTTGTATTTGATATTTTACTTTTAATGATGTAAAAATACATCTAGAAGAAAAAAAAAACAAATGCGAGTTATGAATTTAATCACTTCAATGTCCATTTAAAAAATGACATGTGTCAGTGGAATATAAACTAATTTAATTAACTATTATTTGATGTATATGATTGGAGCAAATATATTTATATAAATATCAAAATAAAATATTGAATATCAAATAAATTTAAAGGGCACTCTTGGACCTGGCGATGTTCTTAAAACAATCTACATTTTTTTCTCGAGCAATTTAATCTACGCTATAGTCTTCTTCCCGGTGCGGCGTATAATAAACCAACACACGTTACATCCTTATCCGAGCTTATTTGTTCTCCAGCTTATCTTTTAAATTTCTAAGATCTTTTTTAAAAAACTTACCAAATACTTTGGAATAGCTTATAAATTCTTAAAAATCTTATAAGTTCTTTTTAACATCTTATAAGCTTAGCCAAACACCCTCGTAATTGTGACATAATTATTCTTTGACGTGTTGTATGATTTATATATGAATTTGAGAGCAATATGTTAGAGTTTTAGCAAGACCCCCCTCATCTAGGAAATGTAGTTAAGCAAAACCCCCCTTACAAAAATAATTAGAGAAAACCCCTTTTGTTGTTAGTTTGGATAATTAATAAAGGTAATCTCCCAATTATCTAAATTTTGATATATCATATTCCGCCGTTTTTATCTCTTTTCTTCTCATTTTGCCTCTTCTCTTCTCTCTCTCTTCTCTCGTTCTTTCTTCTTCTTCTTTTTTTCTTCTCGATCTGCTTCTTCTCTTCTCGATCAGATTTCGGCCGACGCCGTTAAATACTGCTCCGACAAACATTGGCAGACATATTAGGTGAAGAACTGCTGTAACCATCATGATTGGACATATTGGGGGTGGAGCTCTGGCCGCGAAGGCAGGCGACGACGAGGTTTCGGCTCGACGATTTGAAGACCCCGTCAAACAAGTTGTTGCCGATGCGGTTTGTTTTGTTAAACCGATTGATTTGTTTTTATTTTAAATTCATCATCTCCATTAAATTTTGATTTTGAATACTCTGCAACATCAATTTTTGTGAGTAAAAATTGATGGAGTAATTAATTACTGTTTGTTTTATTATAATTTTATTTGTCGAAGAAATCACGTTTCTCAAACAACACGCATACTTTTGAGGATTTTCTACAACAGTATGAATAGTGTGATGTGGCGGCGGTGTGGTGACGATGGGGAGGCATATTTAGGGTTTTTTGGTGAATCAGGCGGATAACGGCGCACATAGAGAAATGCGCGCATGCTGGAATCTTAATCGACTATGTACATGTCCAATAGTCGATTAAGCTAATCGACTATGCTCTGGTAGTCGATTAAGGTTGATCAACTCCAGTTTTTTATTTTATTTTGATTTTTCGTTTATTGATTCCAATTGTATAAATCAATTACAATGTTGGTATATTTTTTGTTTTTGTAAAATGTAGTTGATTTTGCATTTTTTTTTCAATTGT